CTGAAAAACATCTAAATACACTTCAGATAAGATTAAAGATCTTAATCACTTTTTCAGTAAACCCAGCACTGGTACGTATAATTGAGCTTTAGTATCTCCTATCTAAAACAGCAGTCAGACTCAGAGGAGTGTTTTATGACACACACAAAACAATTGGTTTAAAAAGTTTGGAGAATAAAACAAAATAGTGATACATTTAATTCCATGGAGCATCTCATGGGGAAGAGGACCCCGTTTATTTTGTATCTATTATGCTAACGATACCTAGCTAGCATAGGTGTCCCCAGATATTACCTGTGGATCCCAATGAGCAAATCTACAGATGTACAAATAAATACACCGTCCATTCATGTAAGGGAACCTCTACTGTGTTTTACCTGGGGCCATTTTCCTTCCGATGTTGTTCGCTTTATTATTTCATTGATTGTGTTTTTTCGGGAATCCGGATCTACACGGGACACCAATATTGGTTGCACAGCCCGTAACAATCCTTTAAAACAAACGAAAAGTCACAACCAAGCCATTTTTATGGTCAAAGCCACCATAGAAATAATACTAGATATATCAAACGACAAATTTCATGGAAAATTTAAGTGACAGTAAATCAAAGTAAATGATTTTTTTTTTTGGCTGGGGCTGCGTTTGAACCCACCATCTCCAGTGTTATGGGGCCAGCGCTCCACTCCTTTGAGACACAGGCACCGCCCAGTAAACGATTTTTTTTTAAACTTCCAATTTAAACTTGATTAGAACTTAGCCTCTCATTTCCAAAGAAACAGTGGATATTTATTATTTCATTGATTTAGTAGAAGTAAGCTACAAGAGAATGAAAAGAAGCAAATGCAATTTTCTCCTTAAAAGTCATCTTCCTCTGTTGACACTAAAACTTGGGAATATATTGCAAATCTCTCTTCATTTTAGGAATACCCTGAAAAGTGATTATATAAATTCATAGTGCACATAAAGAGGGTGCAATTATTACTCATTTTACTCAAATTTTTAGCACAACAGTTTTGTATATAAATAGCTTCCTACCACATACAAAATAAATCTCAATTTACCCCAAATCTATTGTTATACAATCTTTCAAGAAAAGTCTATGGTGCATCTTACAAGGGTACATGTGAAATTTACTAGGTGTAGAATATAAATGTCTTAACACAATAACTAAAAAAATGCCGTGAAGTCTATATTGACCAGTTTGATGAAAGCATTTCAGATTGTATGCAAAACCAGCACATTGTACCCCATGGTTGCATTAATGTACACAGCTATGATTTAATGAAAAAAATAAATAAATAAAAAATAAAATAAAAGCTGTATTACATAAAGCACACTAGTTGCATTAAAAAAACAAAGTCTTAGTTGAATGGCAAAGCTAAAAAACTACTATGATTTCTCCAGAGCACCAAGGCAACACTGGCCACTTTCACACCCACTCTCATTTCTATATTTGTAATAACCTTGAGACAACAGGGAGCAGTTACTTGGAGACTAATTCCTGAGAGAGAGAGACCAAAGCATCCGGTGGGAAAAACACTTGACTTGCTTCATTACTTTTTATGGCAGGAAGCACGTACTGGTCCACCACATTGTAATTTTCAAAGAATTACTGCACTGGTCCCTTGTGGAGATTTTGGGGACAATAATGCAGAAACCAGAGTTACAAGAAAAGACTTAGGGCATTTATCAGCCTAATACCCTGAAGATTCATGAAGGAGCATGTAACCCGTGTTTCCACAAATTCTTTTGTTAAATTGTCTCAGATCAAGCATGTTCAGTATTTGAAAATCAGTCTTTCTTGACAAATACAATGACAGAAAGAAAGGATGGTGGAAAGATAAGTTTTAAAAAGAATTATGAGGCTATCAGATAGAGAAGTCTCTAATCTTTTTGGCCTAAATTCATTCTTCCTACTAAATACTATATTACAATAAGCATGTTGGAAATGTTTTATTATATTAATGTTTTTCAAAGTTTATCGATACACTTTATATTACTCTTTTAATTTAAAGCATGCGCATGGAATATTTACTGCCGCAAGTACTTACTGCCAACCAACGGGGCCTGGGCATTCTCACTTCGGGACACCAGGGAAGGTAACCCGGCTACAACACAGGCAATTCCATCAAAGAAAGTTGAATGAGGGGCGACAACGAATACCGGTGCTTCCAAAGGACTTGCTACCCTTCCTTTCACAGTGACTATAAATCCCATTGAAAAGAACATGGCGTGACCCAGAAACTTCAAAGCTGTTTGAGTAATTTGCCTTTGAAAAGAAATAGAGAGAAGACATAATTAGTTTTGCTGATTGACTAGCAGCAGGGCTTTACTCTAAAATACAAGAAGAAAACCAAAACATGTCAGAGAATTTCATGGTAAGGTACAAGCTAATACTTGCACAGTGCACTTTCTACCGGGTGCCAGACACTATTCTAAATGCTTTACATACACTAATTTCCGTAATCCTTAGTCTAATCTTAGGAAGTAGGCATTGTTTATTATTATTACCATTTTACAGATGGGAAAACTGAGGCACAGAGAAGTCAAATGAATTTTCCCAAGGACATGTGGCACAGAGATATCCAAATCACTGCTGCCTTTGGGAATCGACTTTTGCGTAATGGAGATGCTGTGATGTCCCAAAACGCTCTTAGAACTCTCATGACTCTCATGTTGAAACTGTCCTCAGAATTATCTTACAGATAATTTTTTTTTAAGTAAGTCTTATAATCTATACTGGTATAGTCCTCAGACATCATCAGAATCTTCAGAAATAAATTCACCATCTCACCTCCCTGGAACAGAGATGCACATAAGCAATTTGAGAAATCTGCTTTTCTTACTTTCTAAAAAGATTTTACCATTAATTAAGTCATCAAACGGTGCCAGGAACTGGGCTGGACAACTAAGACAAGATCCAGTCTCAGGCAAGTAGGAAAAGCAGAAAGTACGCCCAGAAAAGCAGGTGCAGGGTGGTTATCTCCGTTAAGTGAGTAAGTATGTCGCTTTTCATGAAAAATAAAATATATACATCACCCATGAGGTATCTAAGGAGAGTTTAAAAAACGGGTTTCCTATTTGTCTCAACATTCTTGTAATAATACAGTGAAGAGCAATTAGCAGTTGGCTCCTAATAAGTTTTTATTTCACAGTAAGAAGTGAGACACAGAAAATTAAATTACTTTTCCACAGGGCATGGGGACTGGACCTCCCCTTCTCCCACTTCGGTGTAGTAATGAGATCTCTGTTCACATAAGGATACAAAGTGCACCTCTTTATCAAATTTCTAAACCTCTTATTTTTTATCTATAGTGATGTACTATTCTGATCATTTTGTCTCATATTCATGTTATCCCATTAAACACTTCTTTTTAAATGTTTAAAAAATGGATCAATAATAACTTCAGCATTACCTATTTGAGAGGAGACAGAGATACTGGTGTAATTGACAAACGTAAAAAATTTCTAATACTTATTCTATCTACCAATATAATACTTTCTCTATTTCCTGGATGCTTAGCCTATTTCTTTGATCATTCTAAGTTTTTATAAACAACCAACAATAGAAACCCAAAGAGATGATCTGAATAGACTTGGTGAGTCATGAAAAACATCCCTTGAAGTGTTGTTTTATACCACTCAACTCTGAGTTATGAAACAAAGGAGTATGATTTGCAAGAATTGAGAATTCTCAGGGGCATTGGCAGCCCTGGATTCATTTCCACTTCAAACCAGCCTTGTGTTTGATATTGACATTTGTTCGCCAGAACATGAACTGAACAGCAAACTGCATATTTCTTTAAAAGTTTCTAGAACACTATGTCTAATTTCTCAAAATTTTTCGAGGATGTGTTCACATTTGAGATTTAGATGAAAGGAATGTATTCTTGGTGTGGAAAAAAAAAATCCTGCATAATTTTAGAGAGTTCTAGCAGTTCCCAAAAACCTATCTGGTAAATGTGTAATCCGTGTGGAATCCATGCAGTCCAAATTAAGAGGCCCTGGCCGGGTGTGGAAGCTCACAGTTGTGCTCCCTCCACTCTGGGAGGCTGAGTTAGGTAGACTGCTTGAGCTCAGGAGTTCAAGACCAGCCTGAGCGAGAGAACCCATCTCTACTAAAAATAGAAGAAAACAAGCCAGGCATTGTGACAGGCACCTGTGGTCTCAGCTACTCCAAAGCCTGAGCCCAAGAGTTTGAGGATGCTAAGAGCTATGACACCATAGCTCTCTACCCAAGGTGACAAAGTGAGACTCTGTTTCAAAAAAAAAAAAAAAAAGGGCAGTGCCTGTGGCTCAAAGGAGTAGGGCACTGGCCCCATATGCTGGAGGTGGCAGGTTGAAACCCAGCCTTGGTTGAAAACTGCAACAATATCAAAAGGCAAATTAAGAGGTCCCACTTTTAAGACACACAGATACTATCCTAAGAAGAAGGTCCATTCTATCTTAATACTAACATTTTCAAAAGCTAGGCTATCGTGGTCAATAATTAAATTGTTAGTAATAATAATTACTAAAATCATTTAAAAAAATAACAAACACACACAAGCATATCGCTGTAGAAAGCATGTCATTACGTAGAGGAACAAGAATAAATGTGAAATGGGAAGCAAAAGCAAGCCAGGGTTTTTGTAGCTGCAGTGGTTTTAGGTAGCATGAATGTACCTTTCACAACTAAGGATCACTTTTTGGAAATAACTCTGAAATCAAAATGTCTTAACATTAGGAAATAACAGCTTCAACATTAGATTATTATTATATACGTAAGCAGTAATTTCTACATATGATAAATGAAGACCAGGTTCATTTGAGAAACAAAAATTAACTATTAAAATTGAGGAGGCAGCAGTTAGATAAAACTCTTGATCACTCACTAATCCCTGATAGACTCTTTTCTATCTTGATTTAATACCTCTTACCTTAATTTACTATTATGTCCAAATACTTGGACTTATTTATTTCTTACCTCCTCCAGCCAGTTATTGGGTGAGTCAGCTTTTCGGGGCAGCATGCTGTTGAAACGGCAGCAAATGGCCACGCCAGTAATAAAATTAATGCAACCAATAAGACACGGATTGGAAGCAGGATGATTCCAAGAAGGAAAATCTGAAAGTTAAAAAAAAAAAGCACAGATGAATGGACATTACTTTAATGCTTAGGCACTAAACAGAAACATGTAACAGAAGAATTTCACACGATTCACGCATACACTCAAGGATATTTTTTTTTTTATACAGAGCCTCACTTTGTCACCCTCACTTTGTTGCCCTTGGTAGAGTGCCGTGGCATCATGCCTCACAGCTCAAACTCTTGGGCTCAAGTGATCCTCTTGCCTCAGCCTCCCACTCAAGGATAAATTGAGTGTCATTGTGTATTAGCAAGGATTTAAGCATAAAGAAAAGTTAAGACTTACCTAACCTCACCATGCTTACTAAATAGTAAAAGAAAAAGGGAAGAAAACCGTTAAGGCAATTACCATTTGTAAGACTCTCCCATTAAATTACAACTGGAGGCAGCTGAAGAAAAGAGATAGAAAGAGATAGAAGAGATAGAAAAGAGTCTGTCAGAGATTAGTGAGTGATCAAGAGTTTTATCTAACTGCTGCCTCCTCAGTTCAACAGCTGGTTTGAAGTGGAAATGAACCCAGGGCTGCCAATGCCCCTGAGAATTCTCAATTCTTGCAAATCATACTCCTTTGTTTCATAACTCAGAGTTGAGTGGTATAAAACAACGCTTCAATTTCTACCATTTAATGTAAGCATTCCAAATTGTATATAATACACTAATTTCCGTAATCCTTAGTCTAATCTT